TGGGAGGGAACGTATAGCTACTCATGTCTTGCACCCTGACTCTGGCCAATTTTTAGGAATCAGTTTGAATAATGTATTTTTGGCAGGCTGTGGGTGGATTTTGGGTTCCAACCCTACCCCCACCTTTCCATATACAGCCTGCCTACGGCAGCAACATGCTGTAGTATATTGGGATCAGGTCAGAAATCACAGAACACCAGGTTATAGTCCAACAGGTTTATTTGAAAACGTAAGCTTTTGGAGCGTAGACCCTTCATCAGGCTACACTCTGAAAGCTTGTGATTTCAAACAAACCTGTTGAACTATAACCTGGTGTTGTGTGATTTCTGACCCTGTCAACCCCAATCCGACACCAGCACCTCCACATCCTGTACATTGGGATCAGAAGGCTATGGGTTTGCCTGAAAATTTGTTTCTTTAGAAATGTTGTGTGCAAGTGCATCTTTCAAAAATGAAAACAACTCTATAAATTTCAAATAAACTGCCTGCAATCTTGCATGCTAGAAATTGTACATTCTGACATGTAAATTTATAATCTACAAGTCTTATCAGTTCTGGCAGAAACTAACATTCATCACTGAGCCTCCAAGTGAATTTCAGTATTTGAAGAGCTGTGAATGGCACTGAATCTTGTGACGTCATAATTGAATATCCTGACTTCTGACCTTATGACCGGGAAGATCATGTATAAAATAAATGAAGTTGATTGGGCCAAGGATACCAGCCTGAAGAACTCCTGCAGTGATATACTGGGACTGAAATGATGGATCTCCAACAACCACAACCAACTTCCATTTTGCTAGGTACGATGTCAACTAAGGTAGAGACTCCCTGTTCCTACAGCTTCAGTTTTTCCCAGGCTCCTTGATGCCACATGGTCAAATGTTGACTTGATGCCAAGGGCAGTCACTTCATGAGTCCAACTCTTTCAGCAGTGTTTTGACAAGGCTGTAATGAGGCATGGAATCAAGCTTTGGTGGAATCCAAAGTTAGTGCCACAAGCAAGATAGTGCTGAGTAAATGCCACTTGATAGCACTGCCAATGAAACTCTCCTACACTTTGTTGATGAATGAAAGCAGACTGTTGAGATGGTAATCAGCATTTGTCCTGCATGTTATAGACAGGACATACCTGAGCAATCTTCCACATTGTTGGGTAGATGATGGTTTGCAGCTGCACTGGAACAGCTTGGCAAGGACTGCAGCCTCTGAAAAAGTTCTCACAATCCAGTCTCTTTTTTTCTATCAATGTTATTGGAAAGACAAAGACTCAGAAAGGGAGATTCACTGTTGCTATGCTTAAACTGCTGTTGGCCAGCTTGCATGCTGAGAAATTCTTCAAACTGCAGGTGGTCAGAATGCAAAGTAGTTAACTCTCTCCAACTATTGGAGACAAAAATATCTTGATGAAGCCTAGTGTTTGAAACCGACTGAAGGCTTGAAGTAAAAGCTTAGTGAAGTACTAAGAGAGGCAAAACATATTTTAATGGGGAAATTTCATTATCTCAAAATGAAATCTGAAATTTTTTTTGTTTATTTAACCCCTTATTTTTATTGTCATTAATGTTGTAATTGAGAAAAAAATTGTAGGCTGATTTTGATTTCAGGAAATCAACACTGAAGTCAAATTATGAATGATTTTTATAGAGGACTTAAGTAAGTATTTACGTAAAAGCGCGTAAGTGTCAAAAGGAAACAGCATTTGTGAACCAAAGGTTCCTTCATACACAAGATATTAAATACCTATACTAACATTTAATTATATGAGGACCATTAATACCTCAATGCAGATACCTGAGGTATATTAATACCCCAATCTCCAAGTTGCACATACAGGTACAGATTTCCAAATTCTAAAAAAAAGAAAGTAAATAGAAAGAAGCATATCAAGGGCAAATAGAATTCTAAGTTTATGAACAGAAGTCTTCAACACAAAAGACATATGTTGGAAATTAATCTGCAGAATATTTTGATGATACTGCAGGTGGTAGTGTAGTGCACAATTTTGAACACCCCATTATTACCAGGATTCTGAGGCATAGGGAAATCACAATGTAGGTTCAGTGTGACAATTTAGAAGGTACAAAACATAATTGTCATATGAGATTTGAATTCATGAGAAAACTAAATAAATGCAACTTCAAACATGAAAAGATTTGAGAGGACAACTAATGAAAGATTATCTCTACTCAGTGAATTTTTAAACGGTGGCAACATTTAGGATCAGCACTGTGAAAATAAAAGGAGAAGTTAGAAGGCCTTTGTTTCAAGCATGAGCTGATTAGAATGTTGAATGCAATATCACAAGTGGCTGATGAAATTATTTAAGATTGGATGAAGGGGATTAAAGTAGATGCAACAATGCAAAACTGGTACCCACTTAGGCAAGACGACCAAATGCCTTGCATCTGTGTTAAAATTTCCATGATTCTATAACAATATTTCATCTTGTATGTTATTACCACACCATATAGAAATTTCAGCAGTCATGATAGCTTTAGTTTCCTTTTACAGATATACTGAATAGTAATTGTCTTATGACTGTCTAATTCCACAGTAGTTACTTGTGGGCATCACATAGTTTGATCCACTAAAAATCTGCAATATATTTTGAAAGAAAGAAAATGTTGCCAACCGTGTTTAATGTCCTTTGGAGAAATTAAATTCTAGACATGCTGATCATGACATTAGGCTACTCCAGGCACATGAAATCCCTATTTCACAGAGCCTGAAGAAACTTTAATGTGAAAGACTGACCAGAATTAAAAAGAAATCTGAAGAGGTAAATAAAAGATTGGGTTGTGGGACAAAATGCAGGCACCGTACATTAAACAGGTACTGCAAACGTACATGTATTTTCACTGTGAGCTCAACTTAATCTTGATCATTTTTAATCTTTTTTTCTTATAAAATCATGGACTAATTCCAAACCTGTCTCCATTTAATGGTCAAAGTTTATATGAAGAGTAGCCCCTGATTGTTCATGTACTTGAAAGCATTTCTAACGAGTGGTGGCTCCTGGAAGTCGCTGGGAGGAGGGAAATATGAAGCTTCTCATTTTCATCTGCAGAGTTGTAAATTTAATCAAAATGTAGATTGCTGAGTAAAGATATAGTACTAAAACAGTGGCAGCAAAATACATCATCTTTTGACGTTTATGCAAGTTTAAGATGTAGAATAAGTCATTGTTTGAAGAATCTGTGCTATCTTCCCCTTTATTATTTGGAATTAGTTCCAAAATATTAAAAAAGTTGTAACAAAGGGATGTTTCATAGGACGTGTACCTCAGTGATATCAATGGAGATTGGTTATCTGCTTATGACTGGGCTTTTGTGTTGGGGCAACAATTTTCTGACAAGTGATTTGACAGAGTTTCATAAGGTAATTGAGGAAATGGAGAAAAGTAGATAGAGGAGATAATAGTGGATGGGACATGGGTTCAAATTTCACATATAGTTTAACAAAATAACCCAGCACCCAATTCAACTTAATTGCTGCCTCCTCGCATTTAGAATCATAGAATTATAGAACTGATACAGGACAGAAGGCTGGCCTGCTGCAAGAGTAACTCCACTCACCCCACTCTCAGCCTTTTCCCCAGAGCCCTGCAAGCAATTTATTCGATAATTATTCACTTCTTTTTTGAAAGCTATGATTGAATCTGTCTGCACCATATTTTCAGAGAGAGCACTCCAGTTCCTAACTACTTACTGCACAAAACTATTTTTGTTATGTCACCTCTGATTCATTTGCAGTTCACCCTTTATATCAATGTTCGTTCTCAGAGTCATACAGCACTGAAGAGGTCCTTTGGCCCATCGAGTCTGTGCCAACATATCTACATTAATCCCACTTTCCAACATTTGGCCCATAGAATGTTGTGACATGTCAAGTGCTCATCTACATACTTTTTAAAAGGTTGTGAGGTTTTGTGCCTCCGCTACCCTCCCAGGCACTACATTCAGATTACCACAATCCTTTAGGTGAAAAATAGCTTCAAGACCCCCAAACCGCATGCCCTTCACCTTACAATTATGTCCCATTATTATTGCCCACTTGTTCTCAATCCATCCACTCATATGAACAGTTTCTCCACTTCGCACTAAGTCTAGAGACTTTGACACCTGAAATGCCTTCTTTGTTTTCACTTGACCAATGCAACTAGACTCCCTCTCACTGGAATCATTCTCATAGACCATTTCTTCGGCTCTGTGAGCTTTCATATTCAGGATAATATCCTGAAGTAGATTATCTGGTAACTATGGCATTGCTATATGTAAAAGCTTACTATGCACAAATTGGCTGCTGTGTTTCAGGCATCAGTGACTACACTTCAAAAGTACTTAATTGGATGGAAAGCACTTTACAACATCTTGAAGCCATGCAAGGTGCCATGTAAATCCAAGTACTTTTTGTTTATGACTTCCAGGTCATTCATATATGGCAAGAATAGGTAAAACCTCAGTTTAAACACAAGGTATTATG